CAGAGTATACCCAGCCTCTTCTTACTTTTCCTTTTTTCTGGGCACTGCTGGTGATCGAATCCAGCATGTTTGCACCGAGCTACATCCCCAGCGCTCTTGGTTAATGTCTCGAGACACAGCTTCCCTAAGCTGTTACCCAGGCTGGGCTCCAACTTGGAATCCTGCCTCAGTGTCCCGGAGTGCTGGGATCACAGGTGTGGTCACCTCCTACCTCCTGAGCCCCTAGTTCCCTTTGGATGTTATGTGTCAGGAAAATAATCCAAATGGGAGCTACGGAGGGGAAGGTTCTTCCCAGAGCATCCACAAATCATGAGCATGCAGGGGGCCTGCAGAGGCAGGGGCTGTGCCTGGCAGTAAGGCGAGGGAAGAAAGGACTGATACCTGTCGGGCGCTAATGCCCACTGGGCTCCTCCCCCTCCTTTTCCTTTTTTCAAAGCAGCTTTAAATTCTTCACATCTTGTTTAAAAGGCTTTACGTGGCAGAGGAAGAGAAGCCTTTCAGATAAATCTTGGGGTGTTGTGAAGGGGTTTTTAGGATGGAGTGAGCGGTGTGGTTCCCAACCTGGCCTTAGGGATGATGTCACCCCCCCACCAGGTCCTGGCTGAGGCTGGGCAGCAAGTAGGGGACCTCTACACCTGGGTCACCAGAGCCCTCCAGCCCACAACAGGGACACTGTCCAGATGGGACCTGAGTCGGAAGCCCACCACTGGCCCCAGCACAGCCCAGATGACAAGAAGAGATCACATGCAAAGGTCCTGAGGCAGGAAGATTTGCGAGGCACAGAGCCACAAAGACACAGAGGTGGCTGCTGGAGGGATGGGAAGGAATGGGGCAGGTGACAAGGGTGCAGTGCAGCTGGAACACTGGCCCATCGGGCACTCCGGCAGTGAGTGAGTGGTTTGGACTTTTCTCCCAGAGCAGCGGGATCTGGAGGGATTAATCAGGTGAGAGATGTAACCTGCTTTATTTATGTTGCCGAAGGATCCCTTGGGAGCTCTGTGTCGCCTGGATCGTGGCGCGATGGCCACTGCTGCCATGTGGGTGAGTCACAGAGAGGGCTTGGGCCTGGGGCTGCTGACAGAAGGGGACAGAGGAGGGGCAGACCTGGGACGCCTGTGGAGGGAAGCCAGGCACACACTTGCCCCCCTCTCGCTCTGGCTCTGTCAGACCAGAGTGTCTGCAGCCTTCAGGGTGCTGCGCAGCGGTTCCACCCCACTCCAGCCGGGAAGCCCCAGAGGACCTTCTGTGGTGCACGCTCCGGGACTGGGCGCAGGTCTACATCTGTCTCCCAGAGGCAGAGCCTGGTTCCGCTCCTCCGGGGCCCACGGCCGAGCAGCAGCCTGGCGCCAGATTCCATCCTAACTGGCTTCCCTCCAACCTGGGTTGGCGCAGCTACCCCACCCCACCCTCACACCCACCATGCTCATCTCCTCGCTGCACAGCTCCCTGCAGGGGCCACGTGTCCGTGGCACTTCCTTCCGCAGCCACTTGAGTCTTGCTTATACCCGTGCCTCCGGCACCTCACAGCCCTTACCTGGAAGTAACCTGAGGACTGAGGTGAGCCCGACGGCCAGGGACCCACGAGGGAATCTACTGCCTCCTGCAGCCTTCTCACTGGACCTGCCACTTAACCCCAGGGGGGCCTGCCCAGGTACCAGGAAGCCGTAGGGCTCAGGGACAGAGAGATATGGCCCCAACCCGCTGCAATGGCCAAAAACCTCAGCAATTCCCATACCACTAAACACAGCATTTTACAGTGTACTACTCAGTGGCTTCCAGTGTATTCGTAAGATTGTGCAACCATCACCACTACCTGATTCCAGAGTGTATTCGTCACCCTGAAAAGAAACCCCATAGCCACTCACAGTCGCTTCCTGCTCTCCTCTTCCCTCAACCGGACGCCACCACCAACCTACTTCCTGTCTCCACGGAACTGTCTTTTCTGGATGTTGCGTCTAAACGGCGAAAGGCTCAGCATCCTTCCAGGTGAGACTCTAAGTGGAGCCCCTGGAAGAGGCTACCAAGCAACGCTGCTTCTTAACCTTTTTGGCTATAACCAGACTGACACTCTTACACATCCAATAGTCCGTATTTCTGGAAGCAATGATACCTTACCCCAGAATCCCCCAAGTCTAGCCTAGGGCTAGCTCTCTACCCTCTCGCTCTACCCTTACCCAGTCCCAGGTCTCAGAGCAGAGAAAACGAAGCACAACAGGCAATGGTTACTGCTACACGCCCGGAACGTCTTACAAGCCTACTGTTAGATGCCTGAAAAATACCAGTTATAGGATAAACTTTGACCTAATCTCCCCTCCTCCAAACAAAGCTTAAAAGAAGTCCAATACCACAAAAGCAACCTTTTGGGAACAAAATCTCTCTGCCCACGGCAGCTAGCTGAGAGTTAAGCATTTAGGTTGTTCTGAGCTGAGTCAGGCTAGTGTGAGCTGGCCTGTTTGGGCTTCTCCACTACGGTCTCCACTGTGTGGCAAGTGACCCACACAGGAGCAGAGAAGGTCCCTGGCGTGGGCTCCCTGCCATCCAGGGAGACCTAAGGATTGGTCCTGAGCATCTTGGCGCAAGAGATGACCTCTGATGCCTTGGGAAAGGGCAAGGGTGAGGGGACCTAGGATGAGCTCGAGAAAGGACTAGCTCTAAAAAATACTTCCCAAGGCAATTTTTCCTAGGGATCTTGCAAGGGGGTCCCAGCTGGCTTGCTGGAAGAGGATCTTCCCTGGATTCAGAATATAAGCCTGGCATCGGACAATAAATGTGTTTCTAAAACACAGGTCAACCCACTTTGATTTTTAAAACCCACCCACACGGCAGTGCAAGGAGGCGCACGCCTGTAACCCCAGCGCTCTGGGAGACTCAGGCACAAGGGCCATAGGTTTGAGCCCAACAAGGGCAACTTAATGACTGTCCCAAAAATTTCTAAAAAATCAGAAGAAAAGGACTGAGGATGTCACTCATTGTGAGGGCCCTGGGTTCAATCCCCAGAACTGCAAAACAACAGCAAAAAAACCCAACCACTATTTGAACGTCCACACAGCTCTCTGAGTCGTGCAAGAAATGACTTTCACTTGCTGTGTTTTTGAACTGTCGGGCTGACACCACTGGGCTCCCTTCCCTCGCCCTTACCCAGTGTCACTGCGACACTGGCCCTGCCTCCACCCTCGTCCCCGGCCCGCAGGAAGTCAGTGCCAGAGCACCCTTCCCGTGTCCCCACAGCTGGCGTAAGAGCAGGAGCTGGGTGGTGAGGGCAGGAGAATGGCGACACAGACATGAGTCTGCTGCAGCTTGAGTGAGACCCCAAAGCCGACAAATACAAGACCCGGGCCCACAGCGTCCGTCATCTGCCCGCTCTTTGACCAGTGAGATCAAAGGACACCGAGTGGCCCTGTCATCCACACCCTCAGGGCAGCAGGAGGGCTTCCCTGGCTGGGCACTGTCCTGCCACCTGCCTGAGCTGGGAGGCACTTGGCGTCACTGCTCCTCCCGAACTGCTGTGTGCCTACGGGTGCCAGCCCACCGGGAGGCCCTCAGGTCTTGGCCCTCGGTCTAGTCAGCTACCACAGTGACCCTGGTCCACACCAAGCAGTGCCTGCCCCATCCGAGGTTTAAAAGTGTAGGGTTAAGTCAGATGGCCCCAACTCCAAGGTCTACACCTCCCAAATCCCTCTGAGTAAGCACCAGCTGGCGTGGGGTGCGGGCCTCTGGAGAGTGGCTGCTTTCGGGTCAGATCAAACCCGGTCCCACAGACCTGGCCAGAAAGGAAGCACCTCAGGTAGCAAGCCACTCGGAGCAGTCGGCAGGCTGAGCTCACGCAGTCCGAGAGGCACGGCGCTGCTTCCTGCAGTTGGCCAGCCACCAGCTTCTCCAGTGGGCACCGAAGAGCCAACAGCTGTCTTCTCACCTCTGAATGGCTTCAGCAGAAAAGAGCCTCAGAAACACACTCCTCACTCTTGACCTGAAACAGCCTGCAGGCACACCCTGGCCCTCTGGGTGCACCCTACGTGCACAAGCCTGCAGCCCACCTGTGCCTGGCTGCAGCTGCTTTGAAACCCACCCCGAGACCTCTACCTTCCATGCACCCAACACCAACGACAGCCTGAACCACTAATATGAATTGTCTTTTGAAAAAAGAAGCACAGCTAGACTACTTCAAAGTGCTCAGAATAAGCTCTTCATATGTTTTGGGGTTTTTTGCCGTTGTTTATTTGAGATAGATCTTGCTATATCGTTCAGGCTGGCCATAAACTAACTCACTATGTATTTCAGGTTGGCCTCAATCTCACTGTGATCCTCCTGCCTCAGCCTCTCCCGGTGCTGGGATTACAGGTGTGCGCCACCATACTGGACTCACTCTTCGTACTTTATTTGTACCAGTGAGCAATACCCATACTTTGCAGGGATCATGAACTCTTTCAAAACTCTGGCCGCTTAAAAAGATTGAACTCACAACATCATTAAGTTGGTCCCTCACTGACCCCACTGATCTGGATGGAGCACATCTCTGAAACCCTTATGATGCGCGGGAGACCAAGCCAGCTTTCTCGGAACCTACGCAGTATGCAGGACCCTTCCTGGGGAGGTCACACTTATGCCAACAAGGGCACTGTGCAGTGGGCAATGTTTGTCCTGCACAGCCACGTTCAGCCTGTCCATCCTGCCAACGCTGCAACAGGGGCTTGCCGGGACAAAGCTAGCTGTAGCACTCAAACTCAGGGCACACTGGGCCTATCACCCTCGGGAGGGAGGAGATCTTAGCTCAGAAGTGTCTGCAGAAAATCCCAGGGCAGAGCCTGCACCGGGCAGAGACTGACCCAAGGCAGCCTCTTACTCCTTCAGAAAAGTTCTTCTTTTCCCTCAGAATCACTGGGAGGGGAGTGCAGCACAGAATTCTCCTGTTTCCTAGCAAAAATCACTTCCTGCCCATGAGTCACCTACCTGGTTCGCGAGACACCAGGCACCCATGGGCGCTGGCTGCCGAGGCCACTTACCAGCGGGGGCTGCGGCTGGGGGTGCTGCCCTGCCCCCGAGGGGGCCGGGTAGTGCATGAGCAGATTGAAGGCGGAGTAGACGGTCTCTTTGTACATGCCGCTGGCGCACTCCGGGGCCTTCAGGCCTGGAAAAACCACAGCTGGGTCAGACACCAGCCCAGGCAGCTGCTGGGGCTGAAGGCTGTCCGCTCTTGAGAGAAAAGTAAAAATCGCCAGAGGGTCCCCTGCAAGTTGGAGACTTGATAGTGACCGGGTGGCCCCAGGGCCAAGTTCTGGGGGGGACCCTGCGTCCCTTAGGCAGCTCCGACTCGCTCCTACCCTGCCTTCCAGCCAAGGGACCAGGGCCACCGCTTTCTCCTCAAAGCAGGGGGTTCTGCAGTCAGTCACCTGGGCGGGAGGGAGGCGGAGGCGGCGGGGGTCTGTTTACTCCTATAAAGGTCAGGGCACCGGAAGTGACTCGAGCCGGCGGCG